TTAACTGCTCAATTCTCCTTTTTAAACAAAGGGATAAGGGGAAAATGGGGCGATTAAATTATAAATTTGGTGTTTTGTAATTCAAATATAATTTTTTATCATTTAAATTACAAAACAGTAAATATTTACTCGGATAAAAAGAATCTTTTTAATTTTATAATTAATATTTTATAATTTAATACAATTTAGGTTATAAAATTTTTTTTATCAAATTTATAAATTCTAGGTAAAATACCTTCAATATCATTGAAAGAGATTGTTATTTTGTATTGTAAATTGTATAAGACTGCGAAACATAAATTATTAAATGAAAGATAGATTTTAACGATAAAAAAGAAAAAAAGAAAAAAGATGAAGGGTAGATTTTTTGATATTAGAGGTTTTCTCCATTTCAAATTCAATATTTGTAGTTGGATATAGTTTCAAAATAATTTTTTATTATTAAAAATTAAGCAACATCTCTTGCTTGAGGATTGAGCAAGACCCGCTTAAGTGTAAGATTAAATGCTTTTAATAATTGTGTTTGTTTTAAAGTGTTTGATTTGGTTTCGCATATCTTTTTTTGATCAGCCATTTGGTTTCGCATATCTGACAATTGCTGGGGGCGGGTGAAGGATGAAAGATGCTTGGTCTAACTTTCATTTATGCAAATTTTAATTTGTGCATTCAAAAAAGCCACACAAACAGTTGGGCAGCCGAATAGGTGATGGGACTTATTTTGACAATGAAATGTATATTTGTTTGAATTTTCATGGTGTCCTCAAATTTGGGTAAGCAAGGTGCATGTAGTTCTGATAGGTATTATTGATTCCATCAATTGTCGACCTTTTTGGTAAGAAGGTGGTAAGAGTCACCAGCACGCATTGAATTGTGGTTATAGTTGATGAAATGGGTTTCTTGGACTGGATAGCTTTCCCTAGACCAAGTTGTGTGTCTTTTCTCTTGCCTTGTCTTGATTCTTTTTCATCAAGTAATTTTTGTAGAATCAAGATGCTATGGGATACTGTTAGAAATGTGAACAATGTTTTAGTCTTGAATGTGTTCTTCACGTCTTATGTGGACCTAATTCACATCACGTGTTTAGGAACTAGAAAGTCGTATGGTGGGCTAATTTTTCCTGTACGTTACGTACGTACCACTTTGCCAGGTGAAGAGCTTGCAATTAGGAAGTCAAAGATTTATGATTCGCTTACAAACAATTATAGACCTCTAAACACATTTATTTGATATATATGATGAGTGAGTATTACCATATAGAATAGTTATTTTTATTTTTCAAACTCTTATCATATATTATAAATAAAAATTTAGGTAAGTTGATATTATTAATTTAAAATTTTTGAATTGATATCAATATTAAAAATATTTCTAACCTTTTGACGTAAAGGAAAAAAAAAAAAATCTGACCACATGTTCTATTATTTTTATTTAAAATTTCAAACTTTCATTTATTGAGATGCTTCTTTAATGTGCACTTTTAATCATTAAGAAGCTTGTGATCAAACCATCGAAGCTGTTAATCATATACGTAGTGATAGTTATTGCGGTTGAACATCATTTTTTTTTTTTTTTTAACACAGGAAATTTTGGGGTGAGGGGTATTATCACAGGGCAGGATCAGGGCAGGATAAACCTACAACTCTCAACTTTGGAAAGGGAACAGGAGTTCGGCTACACGCCCTCTGCAGCGAGGGCTGCTGGTGCCAATCATATATGCAGTGATAATTATTTTGGTTGATCATCATTTAAATTTGAAATTGAACAGCATATTGATTTTTCCTAACCGGAAAGATATACAACTGGAGGCATAAATAGGGACAGAAAAGCTAAGTGGTTAACACAACTTGCATATTTGTGTTCTGAAGCCTTCTTTTTCCTTCTTTATTATTATTTTATTTTACTTAAGAGAGTTAGTTATTTGGTATAATAAAAATTTGAATCTCAAATCAAGGTGTTTAGTATAACAAAGGTTTAAATCTTAAATAAAAAATTTTAAATTAGTGAGTACTAACTCAATTAAACTTTATACTTTTATTTCATTGACTCGCAATCGTGTTCAAGTTGATTTCGTTTACTAATGCTTCCTTGATTCAATGGTCAAAGTAGTTATATAGTCCCCAAGAAAATAAAATGTGACTTCTAGGATTATGGATAACATCCAACCACCAAACCCACAAATTGTTGTTCCTATTGACAACCACCACACTTAAAAGGAGTTTTTTCCATTGTTGGTTAGGATGCTTTTGGAAAGAAGATGCAATAGAAGTTGTATGTATACAGACGTACATTTGGACCTTTTTTAACTTATAGGAAGCTATACAGAGGTTTCAAGTTTCAAACTTCAAAAGAACCATAAATCACCTCGGTCAAGTTCTTGTTGATAATATCTTAACTTCTATTTGAAGAGTTTAGAAACAAGAGAACAAAACATGATTCAGCTCTGCAACGTATCAAGAAGGTTGCCAGATAGAAAGAGTATTTAAGTTTTTCATCTGTTTATGTTTTAATGAACTTGAGAATTTGCCCAGTGCAATGAGTGAACAGAAGGTTTTTCAAGAGTTTTACTAACATGAAAACAATTGTGAGCCCTTGAAACCTAGACTTGGGCTACTACCAACAAGAAGAGAACAATCACAGGAGGCTTAGCAGAAATCAGTTTCAACCTCATCTTCGAACCTTTGGTTTGGACAACTTTGAAATGACAATCACAGATTCTGGACTTCACGGTTTCATCAACTGTTCCTTGATGTAATCAAGGACCTCATCTACATTGACCGTCCAAGCAACAGAAACGGGGGAATAGCCTGTCCAAGGGTTGCTTCCGTTCCATCTGTACGGATTTATATAATCAATTTTAGAAATGATTACTCTGGGAATAATTAAATTAGAAAATTATGCTAGTTTGAGGTCTCAACCAACCTCTTTAATCCTTGATCCATTAAGGTATGCCCCACACAGATGCCCTGTGTCTCAACCCTAACAACTCCTTTCTTGTAGGTGAAAAGGTCTGGTCTAACAAGAGCTACAAAACTGACAGGGTCATGAAGGAAAATCCCTGCAATGAGACCTCTAAGAGTTATTCCATGAAGAAAAATGCAAGAAAGTTTAAGAGTTGAAGGAAAAAAACGAAGTTTAATTATAGAATCACAAGCTTGTTAATGGGTGAACTTTACCATAGACTCCATCAGAGTTCACATGCCAATCTCTATAGAATTTGCACATGTTACTCAACAATTGACCATGCTTCCCCTTTGATTGCTTCAATTGAAGAAGGTCATCATCTAACAGATAAGAAATTGTCAAGAAGGTACCACTAAATGACACAATACAAGGAAGCAAGGCCACCAAGAGAGCTGAAATGTAATTTTACCTGTCATTTTGACCTGGGTTGTGATGTTTATCCCAACAACAACAATATCAGCCCCTGAGGTAAACACAACATCTGCAGCTTCTGGGTCTCCATATATCTGCAAGAAAAGTTAAATTGTAGTTTCTCAAGGGGTGTGAGGTATCCAACAGGTGAACTTTCTTCAACATGAGCCAACGCTAGCTCCAAAATATATATATATATAAACCAATCTTTCTACCACGGTGCATTTAAAATCAGCAACAGAAAAGTAAGACGTTTCAACACTCAACAGAAAAGAAGTTTCAAAATTATTACACATTAGATAGTTTAGAAGACATTTATCAACTGCTAGTTTCTTTTTGAGTGGTTTTCGCTACTCTAAAGAGGCAGCCAGTCAATAAAGCAGCCAGATATTAAAGTGCATTTAAAACCAGCAAAAGGAAAAGAAGATGCTTCAATTGGAAAGAAGTTTCAAGATTATAACATGTTAAATAGTTTTAGAACATATTCATTGACAATTAGCTTCATGAGTAGCTTTTATTATTTAAAGAGGCATCCAGTCAAAAGATGAATTCACTGAACCTAACATTAACTTAATAGTGTCTATGAGCTTGCAAGCTCATGACCGGCTTGCAATATGAGAAGCAAAGTATAACAATCTTTTTTGCGCTTACATTTGCTTCAGCAGCAGGATTTACATTCCCCAATGCAAAGAATGAGCCTCCAAGTACAACAATCTTTTTAACCTTGCTTGCAAAGGAAGAGTCCCTTTTGATTGCCTGACATCATAACCATATTTTAGAAAAATGGTTGTTTCTGAAGAATTACAGGGGCAGAATGACTACTTAAGAATCTGAATCTTACCAATGCCAAATTTGTCAGCGGTCCAAGTGCAAGAATAGACACTTCACCAGGATATTCAGAAACCTTTTCCACTAAAAATTCAGATGCACTCTTTTCATATTTCTTTGCTTTAGGGGTAGGTAGGAAGATGTTACCCAATCCATCAGAACCATGAACAAAGTCAGCTACACGTGGCCTTCCACCCTTTTCAAGAATAAAACGTGATTAGGTAATAATAAACAAAGCATACCATAAAAATATACAAGGAAATTAAACTAGGAATGACATTCAACTTTGTACACCAAAGTGCTATCTCCACAAGAAGTAAAAGTCAAAACAATCTCTAAGTTAAACGAGGCCAATCAGAATAGGGTAGATACTGCTGAGAGTACTAAAATTATGAAGCAAAGTGAGAACTAATAGAAGGTCCTTCCCTAGAATTATAAAACAAAACAGATCAACCATTTAAGTCGCAATTAGGTTATTCTTTCAAAATGGAAACTCACTCAGGAATGGTAAGAACGTATCTAAAGAGTTACCTTTAGAGGTTCAGGGCTGCCCTCTGCTACTGGAACATCTGGACAGCCAGTAATCTCACACTATCCTTTTGCAAATCAAAAGCAGGAATTGATCACGAACATGTTCATTAAAACAACACAAATTATGACATAACTATGACAATTTAGACAATTCAGTTTAACAAACTGAATACCTACATACCAGGAGCAAGGCATTTCGTGTAGCATCTTCAGTAGTAACATTACCAAATATTGTTGTCAAGCCTATAATCTCCACCTCTGGAGTTTGAAATGCCATCAAGATTGCCATGCTATCATCTACAAATCAGAATTAAGTCATTCACTCTATACTAGTTGAATTTTACATATATTACAGCCTAATTTAGAACCTTAAACCTTTAACTGAGCACTAAGCACAAAAACAATAACATGCAGAAATATCAAAATTTACAGGAGAAGACCAGAAATTCAGAACTCTCTAGCTCTCCCATGACCAGAGAGATCAATTCATTCGAGATCTAGATCACTGCCGATAAGTATCAGATATTCAGATTCAGTAAAACAAATGCCAACAGCATCATGCCATCACATTTTCGAAATTAAATTCAATAATATTACCAGCAAGTGGATTTCATACAAAAAAAAAAAAAGAAAAATGAAAAATCCAATGAAAAATCCAAATTACGACCGCAAACATGATGAGCATAGCTAGATTAGCTCTTGCTGATATAATCGTATCGCAAAAGAACTACGAGTGAAAAATTTCAGTAAAATCGCAGCAACCAAACGGGAAATCAAGCTAAAACAATAGCGGAAAACGAACAAAAAGAAGAAAGAGAAACTAACCGATCCCGGGATCAGTGTCAATAATGAGCTTCTGAGGCAAGGAAGGAGGAGCCAGAACGCCGTTGCAGTTGATTCCGCCGTCGTCGACCACCCCGACGTGATCATCCATATTCTAGGGATTTTCGATCCAAAGCTGAATTGTTTTACAAGGGAATGAATATGGATGTGAAAATGGAGAACAAAGAAATATATAGATTGTTTTTTTGTCGGGGAGCGACGTGACGGGAAGGCCGATACCGTACTTCCCTGCCACCGAAGGCTGTCGAGGAAGATGGAAATATGTAGCGTGGCGAGTTGGTGGGTTGGGTAGGGGAGAATGGTGACGAAATTGGTCTGTGATGCGCAGCCAATGAATTTCTGACACGTGGCGCAGTTCAAATGGATTACGATCTCCTATTGTGATCCGTTTCTCTTAAAGCAAGATATTGCCTTTGAATATTCAAAATGGAAATTAAACGGCAAAAAGGAAAAATATCTTTTGATTTTGGATAATTATTAATGAGTTTTTGTAACCA